ACCCTTCTCCACCCAAACTGGGACCCTCCCCCAATCCCAAACTGGGATCCTCCCAATCCCAAACTGGGCTCCCTCCCCAATCCCAAACTGGGACCCTTTTTCACCCAAACTGAGACCCTCCCAGTCCCAAACTGGGACCCTCCCCACCCAAACCCGGACTCTCTCCCACACAAACTGAGACCCTTCTCCATCCCAAACTGGGACCCTTCTCCACCCAAACTGGGACCCTTCTTCACCCAAACTGTGATCCTTCCCCAATCCCAAACTGGGCTCCCTCCCCACCCAAACTGAGGCCCTTTTTCACCCAAACTGAGACCCTCCCAGTCCCAAACTGGGACCCACCCCCCCCCCCCCCCACCCCACTGCCCCGTTACCTGCGCGTGTCCGTCCATCCATCCGCCCATCCGTCCCTCGCCAACTTCCCTCCGTCCCTCGCCGCCCTCTTGTTGCCCGCGTTTCCCTCCCTGGCCGCTCTGCGGGCCCCGCTCCCGGCCCTGTCGTACACCGAGCTGTACCCGCGCGGGGTCAGGGGGCAGAAGCGCCGCGTGTGCGCCCGGTCCTGGGTGGCCCCGCACTGGGGGCACACGTAGCTCCGCAGCACCGGGCACTGCAGCCGCCCGCCCGCGTCCCGCAGGTTGTGCCCCCGGTACACGGCCGGCGCCTCGCCGTTGTGCCGGCAGAACGCGCAGAACGCGGCGCCGGGGTCGCTGGGATCCGGCTCCTCCGGGGAGGAGGAGGCGGAGGGGGGGTTTTTGGGGGGGTTTTTGGGGGGGTCGTCCCCCCCCAGCAGCGTCGCCGCCAGCCCCAGGTAGTCCCGCCACATGTCGAAGGGGCCCGCGGGCTCCAAGGGGCGCGGTGAGGAGAAGGCGGAGGGGTTCGTGGGGCTCATCCCGCCGGGGGAGGGAGGGAGGGAGGGAGGGACGCCGGGGATTTGGGGTTCCCGGGGCTCTGAAGGGGATGGACGCTGGAGTTTTGGGGCTCTGAAGGGATGGACGCTGGAGTTTTGGGGCTCTGAAGGGCTGGACACCGGAGTTTTGGGGTTCCCGGGGCTCTGAAGGGCTGGACGTCGGAGTTTTGGGGTTCCTGGGGCTCTGAAGGGATGGACGCTGGAGTTTTGGGGTTCCTGGGGCTCTGAAGGGCTGGACGCCGGAGTTTTGGGGTTCCCGGGGCTCTGAAGAGCTGGACGCCGGAGTTTTGGGGTTCCTGGGGCTCTGAAGGGCTGGACGCCGGAGTTTTGGGGTTCCCGGGGCTCTGAAGAGCTGGACGCCGGAGTTTTAGGGCTGCCGGGGCTCCCCGTGCAGTCTGGGGTGGGGTATCACGGTATTCCCGGTGTTCCCGGTGTTCCCGGTGTTCCCGGTGCTCCCGGTGCGGTGAAAGGCGGGAGAGCAGAGCTTTGGTGCTCCCAGTGCTCCCAGTTCAGTGGGGCGGGGGATCGCGGTGTTCCCAGTGCTCCCAGCGCTCCCAGTTCAGTGGGGCGGGGGATCGCGGTGTTCCCAGTGCTCCCAGTGCAGTGTGGGATGAGGTACCGCGATGTTTTGCTGCTCCCAGTGCTCCCAGTACCGTGTGGGGCCGGAGGCGGCGCCACGTGCCCGGCGCTCCCAGTGTTCCCAGTGTTCCCAGTGTTCCCAGTGTTTCCCAGTGTTCCCAGTGTTTCCGGGGCTGCGGACCGCGCTCCACGTGCCTGGCGCTCCCAGAGCTCCCAGTGTTTCCCAGAGCTCCCAGTGTTCCCAGAGCTCCCAGTGTTTCCCAGGGGTCCCAGTATTTCCAGTGTTTCCCAGTATTCCCAGTGTTCCCCAGAGCTCCCAGTGTTTCCCAGTGCTCCCAGTGTTTCCCAGTGTTTCCCAGTGTTCCCAGAGCTCCCAGTG